ATGGCATCTGACACCCACCATGTTAAAAAACGAAACTTCTCTAATAGTATTGAGGATCATCCCATTGATCTTCCTAGAAAGAGGATCTCTAATTTCACTAGTAAGAACATGAAGGAGGTAAGTAAGACACTTTAAACTATCAGATCTGTTTAATCTCTTAGATTAAGTAGAATTAATGAAGCATAACTATTACTATATTCCTAAAGTTATAAGGCAATTTTGGCAGGTAAGTTATTTTTATAAGCTGTAATATAAATGTTTTAGTTAACAAGGAACTGAGAGATGCCTTTTGTTCATTGAAAGGTTAATTAGCACTGAAATAATTTGCTTTAAACCACATTAAACTTGAACTGATTTATTAAGCACCCTTTAAGTTCAGTATATTACAAGTATTGTGAAAAGGGACGGGTAGATAGGTTGCTTTCCCAAACATACCAAAACACAATAGTGTACCTAGTGGTTGAAACCATGGTATTAGGACAAAGAAAACATTGACCTGAAAAAATATCCTGTTGAATTGTAAGCTGCATTGTTGACATCAGTCATAAAGTTGTTATAACTCTACTAAAGAACTGAACATGATGCCACTATTTACTTTGATTTTTCAGGTTAAGAAATCTCCAAAACAGTTGGCTGCTTACATAAGTAGGTAAGAGCTTTAAAGTTTGTTGGAAAATACTGGAAGTAGTTAGAGATGAAGACATAAAACAAATAAGTATTCTTTTTATTATAATTGTAGTTAACTTGTTGTCAAACAGTTCTCTGTGCCAGGCTCTGTACTACTGCATCAGTATTATCTGTTCCTTATGTAGATGCCATTATTCCTATACAGTGAAGAGAATACTAATAGTCAGAGGGAATAAGTGATTTGCTAAGGATCAGATAGCCAGAAAGTAGTAAAAATGGCCTGCATTCCCAGAGTTCCCAAGATGGCAGCTTTCTAAACTACGTGTATCCAAGGTGTGATCTGAGGACCCAGGACTCCCTGAGGCCCTTACAGAGAGTGTTTGAAGTCCTTGTTCACCTTGTCCATTTCTACTCTTTTACAAGTGTACAGTATAAGTTGTTCAGAAATAGCATAAAATTAAATAACAAGAGACCAAATAGAGATAAGAAATGAAAATACAGTAGTCTTCTGTTAATCTGAGACTCAAAAACTGATAAAATTGTGAAACAGCTATTTTCATAATTTTTCTGTTTGTTCTGAAAACCATATTTCTTTTGATAAAACATTCTATGATAGCATGTTTGTTAGTTAGCTTCCCAGTACTGTGACTTTTTATAGGGAAGAAACATTTTGGGGCCATTGTGGTACTGCATGCTTAGATTCCCAGCACTTGGGAGGCTGAGGCAGCAGAATTTTAGGCATGCACACTCTGCCTGAGCCACACAGGAAAAGACCCTGTTTCAGGAAAACTATTGCTTTTGGCTCCTGGCTTCAGAACTTCAGTCTAGGACTTGTTGCCTTTGGGTCTGTGTTGAGGCAGTCCGTCATGGTAAGAGAAAACTGCTTCTTACAGTGGTAAGGAAGCAAAAAAGACAAAATAATAAACAGTCCCAAAGGATCTGGAAACTGTTATACTCTATGAGATTGTCTGTGTTGTGTTCTTTTCATGCACAAAATTCAGTATGCTTCAGCTTAAAATAAATAAATTTAAAATATTCAAATGTGAATACTGTTTTACTTACTAGAAAATAAGTTTTAGTTGTTTAGAAAAACCTTAGATGTCTCAAAAGTGTTCCTAGTTTTCTGTTCCCAGAATGGCCTTTAATGTTTTATTGTAAAAACAGCAACTATTATCCTTTTTTGTTTTTATGTCATTCAACTCGCCACATTCTGTTCATTGCCTTCCAGATAATTTGTAACTTTTATTTTCCTCTTCAAAATAAGACTTTTTAAATTATTATCTTCTAATTTTAGTGGATTACAGTTGTAAAATGTAGCCAATTAAACCTTCATTTAAAAACTTTTCTTCGTTTCACTTAAGAAAATAAATTCTTTTTACAGAACAGTTGGACAAGCTGTGAAAAGCCCAGATAAACTGCGCAAGGTGCTCTATCACAAAAAGTTAGTTCGTCATCCCTTTCCAAATCCTTGTTACAGAACTAAGCAGTCCCCTAAAAGTGGGGGCTGTGACATG